GGACTCAGTGTAACTGTAAATGCAAAGTATATAACAGAGTATCTGGAATGCGATCTCAACAGTGTCCACTATTTTCGTTGTTATAATAGTGTATAGATATCTCCAAGGACGGAGGCCTCCTTAGCAGTAACACCAACGTCCCTACAAGGTAGAAACGAGCGTGATTACCACAGAAATGGGCAGGAAACACAGTGGCTTACCCAGGGTCACGGCTGAGTACACAGAAGAAAAATCAGTTGCAGTTCATCTTTCGTTCGTGTTGAAATGTTTAACCCATACAGGAAATATTTCTTGTGTGCTGAGTTACCCTAGCATTTTTCCTTGAGAGCGTTTTTATTTTTATTTTTATTATTTTTGTTTTTTTTTAATGTTTAGTTTTGAGAGAGAGAAAGAGAGAGAGGGAAGAGGAGAGGCAGAGAGAGAGGCAGAAACAGAATCTGAAGCAGGTTCCAGGCTCTGAGCTGTCAGCAGAGAGCCTGATGCGGGGCTTGAACCCACAGACCGCAAGATCATGACCTGAGCTGAAGTTGAATGCTCAACCGACTAAGCCAACAGGCCCCTCTTGAAAGCGTTTTTAAAAAGCAATTTAGAATAATATATTCTTAGACTTAGGAGGGCAATGTTGATAGAAGTCATGTAGCCCGACCTTTTTCCAATTTGGGAAATCTTTTTATAAGCATCCCCCTAACCCCACCACTGGCAAAGAGTGAATCAGCTTATGCTCAGATAACAGCCCTGGGGAACTCACAGCGTTGGGAGACAGCCCTTGTTAAGTTACCACCATTGTCCTTATGATCAGCTTTCTTCTGAACACTGTCAGCGTCGACATCAAAAGCCTGCACTCAGTGGGACAAGCCTCTGGGTCTCATAAGAGCTGAGCCCAGCTTGCTGGTTCTGTTCTTCATCCACAGGACCTAGCACAGGGCCTTGGAACCTAGCAGGCAAGCGAGAGGTTATTTGTTGGATGGATGGATGGATGGATGGATGGATGGAAGAAAGGAAGGAATGCCCTCTTTGGGTGCTATAGAATGAGATATATATACTTATTCCATTATCGTGCTATGGCTTAGAATCCAAAACATGCAACAATGCACTTTATCTAAATTAAGGATCTGGGGAGATGTGAAGTAAAACAATTATAGAACTGTAACTATTCTAAAACCGAAAAACTATCCCAGGCCCCAGGGTCAGAAATAAACCCTGCTTTAAAGCAAATTGCCCACTGATAATGGCAGTATGAGTAGCGGTCAGACAAAAAAAAAAAAAAAAAAAAAAAAAATTTAACAAGCCTCATTCCATTTCAAACATTAACACTAACACATGCCTAAGAGATAATTACTAAGAATTGCATTCATTTCGAAATGTCATTTTCTTTTCTTTAACTTGTAACAACCTATAGCCTATCCTCTATTTTGAACTTAATACAATGCCTAAGACCTTAATAGAAATGTATGGAATTCTGAATTGGTCACAAGGACAGACTTTTGACAGAATCTGCTTATACTTGCTGCAAACGTGCACTTGCTCATGGACAACATAGTCTCTTTCTCAAATTAAGTCGTGGGATTTATTAAGTATTGTATGTAAGAACAAGACTGTTAACAGTGCCCATATTACGCATAAACGAGTGCATGCACTTTTATTAACAATAAATAAGACAAGTTTCAATTTTATTAGGCCATATCTTGCATCGTTTCTTTTCTCTTCTGCAGAATTTCATTTGCTACACGTGTCCAGTGCCCAATGACTGATTTATTGTTTTCTCCACAGGAGGAGGGGAGAAGCATTAGGTACCTGGCACCCAGCAAACCCCGGGACGGCAGAGTTATCAGTGGAATTCCTCAAAGTGACAAAGGGCTAGATGAGGGGTTCCTTGCTGGTACAACCAGGTCACAAGCCTAAGAAGGCTTGACGGGTGTGGCTGGCTCCCTCCCCAGGGCCTGCTCTGTTTCCGATCTGGGCTTTGCTGGCCGGGGCAGTGCTTCTCCTGGCTCTCTGCAGGACCTCAGGCTCCAGGAATTTGGACCGAGTGGTAGAGACATCGCCGGCAGAGACGGCAGTTGCCAGCTTCCTCCCTGCGCTGTCTTGTGATTCAAAGCAGACTCTGCTCCACTTTTTAAAAAGGGGAGCACGTTAATGCTGGAGACCCACAAGAACAGGATCAAGCAAGGAGACACAACAGTCTGATGCAAGAGTCCGTGAGTAAGCATGGTGAACCATGGCGGGCAGGGATGTGGTCATGGGGAGCCCAGGAGCACAAGGGGTTGACTGCAGAGTGTCCTTGTGGGAGGTTATAGGAGCTGCAAGAACACTGGCACTGGGTCATTTCACAAATGACCCTGGGCTGGGACCTGCCACCTCCCAACACATACACAGAAAGACACCCCCCACACACACACATCCCACCCCTATGGTACTAAGCCATCCAAACACTATATGTGGGCTTGGCTGCAGGAAAAGTTAGTAAAGACAGGATGTTTTTCCACCTTGAACCTTTATCTGAAGTAAACACCATTGAGCCCAATGGCCTTATTTGCAAACGTATAGGAAGTGACTCCAGACGAGGCTTCTCTTGCGCCAATCCTGTCTGATACCAAAGTTAGACAACTTAGCAAAACCTGCTGCAGGCTGTACGTGTGGCATAGTCATTGAAAACACCTTGAACTTTCTCTTCGTTGCATTAATTTCCAGCTAATGCTCTGCTTCTTGGAGAGGTGCCTTTCCTTGGTAGGAGTGATATTGGTATAACTCCGCTCTCCATGAAAGTGCTCTTATTTTATGAGAATAGTTCACATCACAAGCATGTGATATTATAGGTATAGTTACCTCGTGTATCAATACCTTCATGTGCATTTCTAGCCTTGGTGTTTTATATACCACTCATGGAAGACCAGGGCTTGAGTCATGTGCTTTCCCCACGTGTTTTCTTTTCCTTTTCTTTTTTTCTTTTTTTTTAATATAGTGAATCAACAACTCCATCACAAGTGCACTCCTTAATCCCCATCTCCGATTTAACCCATCCCCCCCCACCCATCTCCCCTCTGGGAACCCTCAGTTCTCTATAGTTAAGATGCTGTTTCTTGGTTTGCCTCTCTCTCTCTCTCTCTGTTTTCCTTTGTTTGTTTGTTTGTTTGTTTCATGAATTCCACAAAGGAGTGAAATCATATGGTATTTGTCTTTCTCTGACTTATTTCACATAGCATAATACTTTCTAGCTCCATCCACGTCATTGCAAATGGCAAGATTGCATTCTTTTTGATGGCTGAATCACATTCCATTGTGTGGTATTTATGTGTACGTGTGTGTGTGTTTGTATCTGTCACATCTTCTTTATCCATTCATCAATTGATGGACACTTGCCCAGGTGTTTTCTTCAATGGTTCCCTGAGTGCCCTAAACCTCATCCTCTCTGTATTTGAAAGACAGTGACAGCCACCTTGGAAAACTGTTGTAATGATTAACTGAGAAAACACAAAGTCCTTTGTAACATACTGTATATTTTTTTATTTTTGTTGATGATCATTATACATAATAGGTATGGCACAGCTACAAGCTGGCTAAATGCCATGAAATATGAGTCAAGTACTTCTTACATGTCTTCTCCAACTCAATGGTTTGCTTCTGACCAGACCAGGACCTTGCCCAAGGTCATATATTTAGTAAGTGACGACAAAGCCTCAGCTCACAGTGTAGCCTCCCGGCCCATATTTCTAATGCGGACACAACAGGATGCAGTAGAGGAGCAGGGGGCGGGTGGGCCGGGGTTGGTAGGCAGGGAGGGAGGGGGTGCTGCAGGCACCCCCTCCCTCGGCCATTGCCAGTCCTGAACACAGACCAGTTCTCTGCGGGGTGGGACTTTCTGCCTCACCCTGGTCTCTTCCGTCTACACTGCAGGAAGATTCCCTGCCTCCATGCAGCCAGCCCTGTTCACGCTCTTCCTGCTTCACACCTGGCTCCATGGAGGACAGGGTGACCTCCGTGAGGACCTGACCTTGCTGAAGACCGAGCTTGCGCTTCGCCTCTACCAGGGTGCAGTGGCCCCTAGAAATGAAACCAACATTGTCATTTCTCCCGCTGGAGTGTCCCTTGCTCTGGAAATCCTGCAGTTTGGAGCCCAAGGGAACACCGGCCGGCAGCTGGCCGAGGCCCTGGGTTACACCGTCCATGGTAAGAGGGCTGCTCGTGCCCCTGTTTGCTCTGCTGCTCCCACTCAGGCTGCCTCAGGAGGTGGGGTGTTCCCGAATCCAGTGGCTGGTGCTGGGTGACCACCAGTGGAGAAGGGTGACCGCCTGGCAAGAATGCAGCAGACGGCATTCGGACTTCGCACTGTAGTCCCCATGATGATCTTTGAGTTTCTCTTCTAAACTTAGGTTCCATGCCAATTTTTCTTATATATATTTTTAATGTTTTTATTTATTTTTGAGAGAGAGACAGACAGAGCACAAGTGGGGGGAGGGGCAGAGAGAGGGAGACATAGAATCCGTAGCAGGCTCCAGGCTCTGAGCCCAACACACAGGGCTCGAACTCATGGAGCGTAAGATCATGATCTGAACCAAAGTTGGACGTTTAACCGACTGAGCCATCCAGGGGCCCCTCCATGGCAGTTTTTCCAATTTCATGTCACAAGCCCTTCTGCAGTGCCTACCAGGTGCCAGGAAATGTCCGAAGCACCTTCCAAGTAGTAATTTAATTGTTACGACAACAAAATTGCCATTATGTCTTCTGATGCTCAGAGAAACCACATACAATTGCTAGCCCTGGATATGTGATGGAATTATATCATCATCCCTATTTTATTTTTTTAAGTTTATTTATTTTGACAGAGAGACATAGAGAGCAAGCAGGGGAGGGGCAGAGAGAGAGGGAGAGAGAATCTCAAGCAGGCTCCACACTGTCAGCGAGGAGTCCGACACGGGGCTCAAACCCACAAACTGTGAAATCATGACCTGAGCTGAAACCAAGAGTCAGACGCTTAACCAACTGAACCACCCAGGCTCTCCCATCCCTATTTTATAGATGAGCCAATAGGCACAGAGAGTTTACACGACTTGCCCAAGGTCACATAGCTAGTAAGTTGCAGATTTGGGACTCAAGCTCAGGTTGAGGTCAGCCAGGTTGAGGTCAACCTAGCTTGCACTCAGGGCGTCCGGCTCAAAACCTGGCCTCGGAACCAACCTACCAACTCCATGCGAACACACACACTCATGCACATCGCTTTTCCTTCTCTATCTTAGAATAAGATACCAATAAAAAAGGATGGGCATTAGCCTTGTATAAATCAATATGTTTTAGGAAATCCAAGAACGAATACCAACACAGTGCTGGTGAGAGCTTCCTTTGAGCTAGAAGCTCGGGGTGGCAGGTAAAGGTTAATGCTGAAGACGCCAGGTCACAAGGCACCAGTCATGCGTCCAGTTCCCCACGCCCCATCCACATCCTGTCCCCTGCCCAAACAACTCTCGTGACCCTGCTGGCCGGCTTGATTTTTCTCAGCAAGAATATCACAGAAATGCATATATCCCTGGTCTTCTTCTTCAGCCACATGAGATCGGCTGCAGTACTGATTCAAGAACTCAGTTCTTGAATGATGCGGTTCAAGAACTCAGCATCCAGACAGATAAGGAAAGCTCTGAACGCGAGCAGGTCAGTCTCACAGGAACGATGCACACAGAAAGACACCCTCGTGCAGTGCAGCAAGTGTATTTATGTGACATAAATTAGCACAGGGCAGGGAATGATTTATTCCACTGGCTGAACAGAAAGACGCCCCGGAAGACATGCCATCTGAGCCGGGTCATGAAGAACAAATAGGCGTGTGAAAGAGAGACAGGCATTTCTGCCTTACAAGAGAGACTCACAAAAGTCACAACTGGGGGGAAAGTGAGAAATGCAAGTGTGGCTATCCTCCAGAGAAAGGGAACTGGTTCCAGTTGATTCTTTGTTGTCAGGTATAGTCAGGGTCCCTGGCTAACCGAATATGATGATTAACAGGGTTTCCATGGACCCCATTTGAGAATTACCAAATGTGAGGAATGCTTAGCAGTCAAACTCTGTGGAACATGATCCCACCATTTTTCTTACTCATAAACTGCTTTGTTATCTCATAGAACCGTGGTTCATTATTATGAACAGGGATGTGCAACTTCCAGAGTTCCAGTTAAGAGAGTACCCCCGTAGTCTGGTTTGACCCAACATAGCTCAGAGAATCATGTGCACTGTTTAAAACAACCCAGCAGTGCCCGCTACCTGCCTAGGTCCAGCCTTCCTTTCAAAAGTCAATACAGACCAGTAAAATGTATACAAAGCAGGATCCAAAGCAACGCCAGGGTCTTGAGGCATCTTTCCGGTTTAATCAACAGGAAGACCTATCCACATCTGCAGTGGGACACATCAGCACTGTGTTGTTCTCCCTGTGTTTCCAGCCAATACGTGACAACCAGAAGCTTTGCTAGGGTTCCCACCTGCGGGTCAGACAGGCACAGCATGAGACTCAGAACAGACCCCAGGGGTATCTATAAGGATCACCGCACAAGACACAATTTCCTGATGTTCCAAGTTCTAAGGAGTTCTGGTGCTTTTCCTAGGTAAATTGATGAGGAACACTTTAAGCTTTCCAACTTTCTATTAAGCATAAGAATAATGCTAGGAACAGAGGCCTCAGAAATGAAGGTAGCCTGGTTCTTGGGAAAGAGTTCTGTTTGATGATAATATGAATTTCACTTTTACGGTTATTATGGCATTTGATCCTCATAGAAACCACATACATTAATGAATAACCCCAATTTTACAAATGAGACAAGAGGCTAACAGTTTGGCAAGACTCTGCAGGTGGAAGAGACAGGAGTCAGGTCCCAGATTCTCTGACCCCAAATCCCATGTTCTTTCCAAAATTCCTTCATCCTACTCTAAGTCACTGAGCAGAAGCATAAAGGTATAAGGACATTGTCTTTTCTATTTTTCATCAGAGATATCCTCATTATTCCCGCAGCTCAACCAAACCCTCTGACATCATCCTCAACTTAGGCCTCTTGTAATTCTCAGGCAAGTAAAACATTAGCATCGCTGTTTGTAGTTTGAGAATTTTATAGTGATGAACTTTACAAAGTCAGATTCAGTGTCACGTTCAGGAAGCTCAGTTCAACACATTGATTCAAAAGGAAGGCGCTCTCCACACTGGGCTCACAAATGAGTTAGAAGGCTCAGCCGCAGCAAGAGAAATTCATGAGAAAACATCATGTCTTCTTCTAGCACTTTCCTCCCACTCTGTGCACATCCCAGGGACCTTCTCCTCAACCTTCCACACCGCCCTCATCACAGTGCTGATGGAGTGCAGCACCCAAGGGTTTTCTTCTTTCTGCTTCCTTTCTTCCCAGACCCTTGTAAGATCTACCTGACCAGCCCTCCAGCAAGAAAGACGCTCTCTGGCGGGGCAGGGAGAGGAATTAAGCCAGCGGTGACAGGTTCCTCTTTCCAAGGCTGCTGGGGAGGAACAGTCTGTAGCCTGTCATCCCTCAAAGAACAGCTGGTCCCCTGGCCCAGATTGGGTGAGAGGGCAGAAGGGAGGTCACGCTACACTATGGACCGGTGAAATATCTCACTTCGTTCCTGCAAGATGGTCAACATTTTACAGAGACATGATTCTATAAATACATATGACCTTCCTCAGTAGAGGAAAACCTGACAAGAAGTATTATTTTCATCCATTTCTTTGCTCATTAAAATAAAAGCAAAGGAGTCAGGCTGCAAATCATGAGATATACAACCCGAGTCTGTTTTTTACAGTCGTGGATTCTAAGAAGCAGCTTTGGTAGTGAAAGTTTTCTGGGCAAGTGAAATCTGTCCACAGCTGTGGGCTGCAGCCCGGTGGCTGGGCGCCCCGGCCAGGGTGTATTGGGGGCATCTGTGCCCCTTCAGAGAAGTTTTGCCAGGCAACTTGGGGCTCTGCTGCTGTCCCCTGAGCGGGCCTCTGAGACATGAAGGGTGTTGGAGTGGATGGGCCCCAAGCCAGGTCAGAGATCCATTCCAACAGGTGCCCTGGGCGAGGGACAGGACAGTGCAGGAAGAAGGGACAAAGTGTGGGGGTAGATTTGTGGATAACCACAGAGCTGTGCCTAAGAGGAAGGAGAGGCAAGGAGGAGCAGGGAAGGGCCATGTTCCAGAGGCAGCCTGCACAGGAAGGGGACCTGACTGCTGGAAATGCCCAGCTTCCATGTGTCAGGAGAAAGAAGCTTGGGATGCTCAGCTGTGCCCTGACTCACCAGTGGGCGAGAGGCCCTGCTCCAGCTCCAGATTTTCTCCTAGGGGAGAATAAAAGCCACAGATTGTAAACACTATCTTGAAAAAGAAGTCCACTATTGATTATGGAGAGAAGGAAGAAATCTCCTGTGTAAGTAGTAAATATAAGTCCAGCCAACCCCCGCCCCAAGAAGGTGGAAACTATTGACTCTCTCAGATGCTTATTATTTCCTCAACATTCTTCTAGGTTCTTGGTGACATTAATAGCACAAGCTGTCCGCTGGGTCTCAGGGAGCAGGGGGATGGGAGGCGCTCTTACCTTTCCTCTGTGTTCCTCGAATCGATAGCATAGTTCTGAAAAAGGCCACATCTGAATGTCCCTCAGGCTTATGACATGCAGTTGTGGGAACGGATGTAAGGCCCTGAACAAGATACAGTGACAATTGGTCTGTCACTGTTATTTATGACATTCCCCATAAATCGATTGACTTCTTAAATATTTGAAGCCCCCTCATCCTGCACACCAGACCCGCAGTTTTGCCAGCTCTCTGTATTCTAGTGCCCTCAACATCTCTGTCTCAAGAAGTGAAGGAGGAATAGCCTCTGGGATATTGGTGGTATTTTTCTATTTGACTTCATCACAGCCTGATTTCTTTCTGATCTTGCATGGCTTCCCCCCACCTCTCAGCTCTTAATCTATGATTCGGGATAATTCCTGAGCAATTGAGTTCTGATTTATCCAAATTGGCTGTAACTGGTAGATGAGCCTTGTGAAACAAGAGTGGTACCTGCCGGGGCCCCATTTCAGTGCGATGTGCAAAGAGAGACAGGGCGAACTCCTTACTTACGCTCACCGCTGTCAATTTATCCCAACACCTTTTTCACAGACCAGAGGGTGAAACAGTTCTTACACACTGTTTACGCCACCCTGCCCAACTCCGGACGAGGCACTAAAATGGAGCTGGCCTGCACTCTTTTCGTGCAAGCAGGAACGCCCCTCTCCCCCTGCTTTGTGGAACAGATCTCCCAGTGGGCCAACAGCAGCCTGGAGCCAGCCAACCTCAGGGAACCCAACAGCACCAGCATCGGGGTCAACGAATGGGCCTCCAGGCAGATGGCAGGTAAAAGAAACCATCCAGTTTAGTGAGGCTGATTTCAGAGCGCTATAAACACAGATACCAAGCATTGCTGGTCAGAAGCCACATGGGTGGAGACTCAGGCCACCCTCGATTGCAACAGAAGTCTGTCCTCTTGGGAGACCCTACCCTTAAGTGCGGTGCTCTATGAAGCAAGCAAAGCTGACCTTTGGCCCCCTCTGCCCATCCCCCACCCACCCACACAGCAGGGGGCTCTTCAGAGCCTCCCACCTCCAGGGGAGCCCTGCAGGCTTTGTTCTGTGCACCTGTTCCCCTCAGGGGAATCCCCCCCACCGAGCTCTGCTGTCACCTACAATTAACACCCTGCGACAGCAAAATGCAGTGGGAGCCAGAAAACTTCTTGGAATTTAGCTTCAGGAAATGATTCAAGGGAAGAAAAAGTTATATATAATAAGATGCTTAGCCCAGGGTTAGGGTTACCGAAGAAAAAGACTTAGAAATAACTTAACCCCCCAGCCATTAGGAATGATCCCATTAATTACAGCTCCCGCATATCATGTAGTTGTAATTATTAAAGGTGGTGAAAATCTATTACACTCACTGGGGTTCCATTTATTGACTTATAGCGTTTTTCCTAAGTGCTCTGTGTTCATTATGTCTGTTCACCCTCACAGTTGTCCTAGGAGATAGGTGCTGTTACTAGTGACTTGTTCACAGATAGAGGAACTGAGGCACGGAGAGCTACGCCTGCTGCCCTGGGGCCCAGGATCCCTTAGAGCCAGGATCCTAAGTCAGCCGGTCTGCCTCTGGCATCCTTGAACATTACAAAGGCTACACAGAAACAGGGAGAATGTTTAAGACCCAGTGTTGTTTAAAACACAGAATAGAAGGTGATGTGTACTTTATGACTGAACTGAGAACAACATGTGGGTGGCCAAGGAGCACAGAGCTGCAGCGCAAATACGAAGATGTTCATTGATAGCTCAGTCGTCTCCAGCGTTTCATAATGTCTTCCCAGTTTACTTAAAAAATGTTTAATTCCCTGTCTCGGCTCTTTGTGCTGCTGGGGTAGGGGCGTGGGGAGGGGGGGCGGTTAGGCAAAGCCACACAGTTAGCTGCCGTCAACCCTCTGGGGTGAGTGTCCTCCACAGAAGAGGGGCAGCCAGGAAGAGCCTGAAGCTCTGGGGCCAGGCCGCTTGGGTTCAAACCCAAGGTTTCTGTCTTGAGCAGCCGGGCGGATGGTGGCTTTGCCACTCACAAGTGTGTGACCTGGGACAGCTTCTCCAAGCCTTGGTGCCCCAATCTGTAAAATCAGGAATAACAACAGAACTGGTCAGAGGAGTCAGTGAGGGTTTGTTCAAGCATTTAGAACAGAGCCTGGCACAATGTGTGTTTTTATTAATAAAGGGCTGGGGCAGTAGTCAGCCTGCCCTCTTCTCTCTGGTAATGCGTGGAATCTCAAGAGCATGCCCTGGATGTTGCTGTCTAAGCAAAGGCTCTGTCAGGGATGAGGCCCAGCAGCTGGGGTAGCGGGATTTGCAGGAAGGGTGGGAGGGACACAGCGCAGTGGCCCCCACCACAGCGCCCTGTGCCTCCCAGGAGTCCACCTGAGCAGTGCGTGTCTAACAGCCCTAGGAAATAGCCGCTTCAGACAACCTGCTCGGAAAAGGATAAAAGCACGGTCTTCAACGACAGCTAGTTATAGACACCACGGTTCTGCAGGTGCAAACCCACCCTCGGGGATGCCCCAGCACCCTCCAGGGCAGGTGCACGGGTCTCAGCCGCACGATGGCTCTCCTGCTTGCAGGTGACAACCCGGGTGGCCTGACATGGGAGCGCGGTGGCGGTGCATTTCCCCAGCTGGCACTTGTGAGCACCATGTCCTTCCAGAGCACTTGGCGGCAGAGATTCTCCTCCAGGGACACTCAGCTCCTGCCTTTCACCTGTGCCCCGGGCCTCGTCCTCCAAGTCCCCATGATGTACCAAATGGCCGAGGTCAACTACGGTGAGCTCCTTCCCACCTGTGGGCCCTCTTAAGTGACGGGAACAAGGGAACAATGTGGGCGGAGAGAGGGGGGCCACGTCTGCTCTAGAAGGACCCGCGGAGTGTCTCAGCCTTCCCTCTGCAGTGAGATGTGTGTGCAGTAAGGAGCGCCCCAGGGGCCCGAGGACCCAGAGAGGAGGGTGAGGAAGCAGAGGGGGAAGAGAAATCCAATCTCACGCTTGACATTTCCCTCTGCACCTAGTAAGAGGTGTTAGTGTAAAACCAAAACTGTTTGAAGGGAACCACCCCACCCTCGGCAGGCAACCGCATAAAATGAATAGCCACTTGGTGCTAAGAAAGGGCAAAAGATGGAGAGTTCAGTTTAGATGGCTCTCGAGAGGGCGCCCACGCGGGCTTGACATTGTCCTTCCGCCTTGCCTGGATGGTTGCTCATCCCGGCCCCTTGAGGGTGCAGGTGCCCTGAGTGCGGGCCAGCGAGCACCAGGGGAGAGGGGGCCCGGCCCCGAAGGCTGGCTCCAGGTGTGGGCACCGCCGTGGGGCCCCCACAAGGCAAGGGGAGAAGGGAGCCGGCCACCTGTCCCCACACACCTCTCTCACAGCCCTCGTTTGCAGGCTCAGCCTTTGCAGCTGTGGGATTAATTCTGTTCTCACGCAGGGAAAAGTCGCTGAGACTTAAAACAGTGTTTCAGGAACTCTGGCACTTAGAAAACTCACAACCTTCCTGCTTCAATTTCACGCAGGACATGTTGTGAGTGCTTTTATTCGTTTGTTTGTCCTGCCAGTAACTATTAACTGAGGTCAAGTAAGGGGAGAGTAGAGGAAGGTCAATTGGATATGTAAATATATATTTATGACTATTATACTTCTTGTGCCTAATGTTTTCCTGTCGCTGCTATGACTCATGCTGGTTGATCTGTCAGCTGCGTAACACTTCCCAATTTTATATGATACCTGGGTTCAGAGCTTTTGTTGAAAGAAAGATCTGGCTCGGGGCGCCTGGGTGGCACAGTCGGTTAAGCGTCCGACTTCAGCCAGGTCACGATCTCGCAGTCCGTGAGTTCGAGCCCCGCGTCGGGCTCTGTGCTGATGGCTCAGAGCCTGGAGCCTGTTTCCGATTCTGTGTCTCCCTCTCTCTCTGCCCCTCCCCCGTTCATGCTCTGTCTCTCTCTGTCCCAAAAATAAAAAAATAAACGTCGGAAAAAAAAAAATTAAAAAAAAAAAAAGATCTGGCTCAAAGAGCCTGGGTCCCCACATGGTCACAAAAGGCCAGGATTGGAATGGCTTCCCCTTCAAGACAGTAGATGGCTCTCCCACGTGCCATCATCCCCACTCTGTCCAGCCGATGCAAGCCCTGTGAAGGTATCATTAGAAATTCTAGGTCCTGGGGCGCCCGGATGGCTCAGTCTGTTAAGCGGCCGACTTCGGCTCAGGTCATGATCTCGCGGTCCGTGAGTTCGAGCCCTGCGTCGGGCTCTGTGCTGACAGCTCAGAGCCTGGAGCCTGTTTCGGATTCTGTGTCTCCCTCTCTCTGACCCTCCCCTGTTCATGCTCTGTCTCTGTCTCAAAAATAAATAAACGTTTAAAAAAAAAGAGTTTAAAAAAAAAATAAGAAATTCTAGGTCCTAAGATCAGAAAAGGTGACTAACAGTCTTTGGCCTCGAACTGCTTCCTGAAGGTGAGGTAGACAGCCTGTTAATAAAACGTACGGTTCCCAGTTCTGTGAGCTGGCCCTTCCCAGGGTCTGGCACTGTTTAGTTCCCTGTCTCCTGGGACAGAACTAATAATGCCCCATCCACTGAACCCCCAGGCCAGTTCCAGGACCCTGCAGGCCATCAGGTGGGGGTGCTGGAGCTGCCTTACCTGGGAAACACAGTGAGTCTGCTGTTGGTTCTGCCGCGTGACAAAGACACCCCGCTGAGCCACGTTGAGCCACACCTCACAGCCAGCATCATCCACATCTGGACCTCCAGCCTCAGGCGAGCCAGAATGGACGTGTTCCTGCCCAGGTAAGTGGCTGTGTCATCCTTCCGGGGTGCTCTGCAGCCTAATCCTGTTGGCCAGGCCTGGATCAGAGAACCCAGGTGGTCGGACTCTGGGGTCTGTCCTTAACCACTGGGCCAACTTGTCTAATGTGCCCTGAGAGGTTAGGCCAAGGGGGAGTTACCCTAGAGTGTGGGTCCAGGTCAGAGTCTCTGCTGACTAGTTCATGATGCAGACGGAACAGAGTTAATTTCCTGGGTCTTCTCAAGAGAAGATATTCTGTGTTCACTGGGCCAGACTGCAGGCTCCAGGCCTCATGCCACAACCAGTTCTCTGAACAGGGAAAGAAAAGCCATGAAGTTACCTTGGAGGAATGTGCCCCAAATCTTATCACATCCTAAGAGTATACAACTGTCATTTTTCCAAAACCAAAGAGGCAAGGTAGTTTATGTAATTGAGCAAATAACCAAGATAATTCTGACTGGAAGGCAAATTAAAGCATAAAAATTCAAGACTTTTAGTCTCTATGCTGAAGGTTCTCATTCTTTGTAAATAGAGGTGAGCCATTCTTTGAGAAAATCCAATAGGTGCAAATGCAAATTGTCAAAAAGTTAAATGATGGTTCTAGATTTTGCTTTTCCAAAGCAAAACCTACTTGCAAGACTCATTACTTTACAAAGAATTCCTTTTTGAACTTCGTTAAGTGACAAGCTTCTCTGGCACATTTGAAACCAGAGTAAACCTGTAATTAATTTGTAGACCAGCATTAAGTGAGAAATGTTATCCCAGGGCTCAGTATGTGGATTCTTCATGCTCCTTCCTGCTGGCTGCCACCACCTGCTCTGTTGACCAGGCCCTCAGCAGCACTGAGCCAGGGGCCTTGGCAGAGCTCTTTTGAGCAGTTAAAAATAAGTCCAGACACTGAAATAAAAACACACAAGGAGAGACCCAGTGAGTTAAGGGCCAAGGTCTAGAGTGGGATTTGGCATAACCAGAAGGTGAACGTAACTCTATGATAAAGTTTATGTCTCTCCAAACCAAATGCTTGGACCTCAAATGAAGGCACAAAGACAAGAAATTTCAACAGATCTCTCTGGCATGGAAAAGAAGCAACCTTCATCTTTCTGTCATATTTGAGAGAAGCTCAGCGAAGGAAGAGAAGCTTTCAATGTCAAAAGTAGGGAGACAGTGTGACCTGGTGTAGGAAATTTGTCGGAATCTTTTCAGAATTAGGAGACAGATGGCTGGCCTCATTCTGGAGCAGCTGCTGTAAGGAAGAGTCCCCAGGAAAGTGCCCAGCTCGTTTGCGAGTCCTCCGCTGTCTCTGATGCCACCTGTAGAGCTCGCAGCGTTGAGGAATGATGCCGAAAGACCCAGAAGACGGGGATGGGATGGGAAGGCAAAGATCATAGTAACACAGCATCAGTTAACACTTGTTAAAAAAATGTTTGGTTACCATAATTTATCTCCCTAATGCTATCAAGCCTGACATCCAAGAAGGATAGAAGGTATTAGGAAAATGAGGCTGTTTCACAAAGCCAAACTCACCAAGCAAAGAAACCAGCTTCAAAATCCTTTAAGGAATAAATAGAGAAAGAATTTCAACTATCTTAGGTCTAAATCTGGGTACAAAACTTTGGACCGTGGTCGACCAGGTCAACTTTTGGGCAAGAATTTACCTCTAGTTCTGCAACTCATTCATTCCTCATTTAATATGATCTGCTTTATAGTTACCCTGCATTTTTCATTTAGCAAGAGCAAACACTTTTGCACACTGTGGGTAGTGGTGCAAATATCGTGTGGCAGTGAGGTGAGCCTTAGGATTAAGCTTCACCAACGGTGTATCCATAGATTCTGGATGAATTATGATATCTAGCTTCTGAGGTAATATTTTATTTATGAAGAAGTGAAATAAAATGTATGGGGACAATTAGTCTTCATTAGGGACCTTAGCATACCAAAAGAATAATCAAGAAAGCCAACGATGAGTGTTAACAAGGGTCATTTATATCCATAATAATGTAACGCCTCACAAGAAAGACTAATAATGTCAAATATATATTTGTTTAATGAATAAAACGCTTGGTTATTAGATCAACATAGTAGGATGCTAAGCATGAGCATTTTTTTCTCATAATAGAAGTGATGTATTTTTTTATTGAAGTATAACTAATGTATAGTGTTATATTAGTTTCGGGTGTACAGTATAACAAATCAGCAATTCTCTACATTTACTCAGTGCTCATTGTAAGTGTACTTTTAATCCCCTTTATCTATTTCACCCATCCACCCCCCCAACCCCCCACTTCCCCTCTGGCAACTGCCAGCGTGTTCTCTGTACTTCAGAGTCTGGTTTTTGTGCGTGTCTCTTTTTCTCCTTGTTTGTTTGTTTATAAGTATCTTAAAAATCCATCAGATCTCATATATTCAGAAGTTTTGGGCTTCCTTTCCAAGAGCTACTGATCATCGTCATGTGTGGATTGTGCTTTTCTATGGGTATTTTCTTTTTTTTTTTTTTAATGAAGGTACAATTCACATAACCATAAAATTGTTTCAAAGTGTACAGTTCAGAGGTTTTTAGTATATTGGCAAAGTTGTGCAACCATCACGACTATCAAATTCCAGAACATTTTCATCACCTCAAAAAGAAACTCCATACCCATTAGCAGTCACTCCACATTCCTTCTCCTCACTACTCCTAGGCAACCACTAATCTACTTTCTCTCAGTGGATTTGTCTATACTACTCTACCTTTCACATAAATGAAATCATACCACATGTAGCCCTTCTGTGTCTAGCTGTTCTCACTTAGCACGATGTCGTCAAGGTCCGTCCTTATCAGAGTATGTATCAATACTTCATTCTTTTTTATGGCTGAATAATTTTCCATTGTATGAATATACTACATTCTACTTATCCATTAATCAGTTTATAGACATTTAAGAGCCTGGAAACTTTTTGCTTGTTTTCACTTTTTGGGTCCTATAAAATTTTCATGTGCACACTTTTTTATGATATATATTTTCAATGATCTTGGTTATATACCTAGGAATGAAAATCCTGGGTCATGTGTTAACTCTACACTTTACATTTTGAGGACCTACCAGACAGTTTTCCAAGGGGCTGCACCATTTTACATTCCCACCAGCAATCCAAGAGGTTCCAGTTTCTCCATACCCTTGTCAACACTTGTTATTGTCCATTTTTTCTCATAAGTCCCTCTTCATGGTTAATGGTACAGACTTTCAGTTTGGTGTGATGCAAAAGTTCCAGAATGGTGGAAAGATAACAGTGGTGGTTGGACAGCAATGTGGATATTCTTAAGGCCATTGAATTATGCACTTAAAATGGTTATGTTGTGTATATTTTACTACAATCTTGTTTTGAATTGTGGAGTGAAAGAAGGTGGGGAGAAGACAAAGACTGGCTTCCCAAATTTGGGTTAAAAAGTAGCGTTGTTATAAAGCTTACATTTAGGAAGTATATAGTTATTCTTAGTTACATTACCTGGGAAGACATCGCCTCCTCTGCCCTCCAGCAATGCCATCCTCTGTGTTTTGGCTTCTCGGTCAGGCTGGAGGCAAGATGGATGCAACCTATCTGACCCCACAACAGTAGCAACAACCACAGGAGAAGAAAACCCCCATCTTTTTTATTGTAGCCATCCTAGTTGGTGTGAGGTGGTTTCTCATTGTGACTTCCATTTGCATTTCTCTAATGACCGATGACGTCAAGCATATTGTCATGTGCTTGTTGAACATTTACATATCTCTTTTGAAGAAATATCTATTTGAATCTTTTCTCCATTTTTAAATAGGTTGTCTTTTTATTGTTGAGTTGTCATGGTGCTTTATATATTCTGGTTATTAGTCCTTTATCAGATATATAATTTGCAAATATTTTCTCCCATTTCATGGATCGTCTTTTTACTTTATTGAGGATGTCCTTTGTTTTTTTTTTCAATATATGAAGTTTATTGTCAAATTGGTTTCCATACAACACCCAGTACTTATCCCAAAAGGTGCCCTCCTCAAGACCCATCACCCACCCTCCCTTCCCTTCCACCCCCCATCAACCCTCAGTTTGTTCTCAGTTTTTAAGAGTCTCTTATGCTTTGGCTCTCTTCCACTATAACCATTGAGGATGTCCTTTGAAGTACAAAAGCTTTTAATTTTAATGAAGTTCAGTTAATTTATTTTTTCTTTTGTTTCTTATGCTTCTTTTAATGTCATATCTAAGAAACCATTGTTTAACCAAGATCACAAAGATCTATGTCTGTGTTTTTTCTAGCAATTTTATAGCCTTAGCTCTTATATTTAGGTCTCTGACTCATTTTGAATTAATTTTTGTATGTATAATGAGGCAGAGGTCCAATTTCATTCTTTGCATGTGGTTATCCAGTTGTCCCAGCATGATTTTTTTTCTTCCAAGATTTTATTTAAATTCAAGTTAGTTAACGTGTAGTGTAGTATTGGTTTCAGGAGGAGAATTTAGTGATTCATCACTTACATATAATACCCAATGTTCATCCCAACAAGTGCTCTCCTTATTGTGTATCACCCCATGTAGCCCATCCCCCCAACCACCTCCCCTCTAGGAACCCTCACTTTGTTCTCTAAGAGTCTCTTATAGTTTGCCTCTCTCTCTGTTTTTATCTTATTTTATTTTTCCTTCCCTTCCCCTAATGTCATGTTTTGTTTTTTAAATTCCACATATGAGTGAAATCATATGGTATTTGCCTTTCTTTGACTGACTTATTTCACTTAGTGTAATACACTCTAGTTCCATCCCCATCATTGCAAATGGCAAGATTTCATTCTTTTTGATGGCTGAGTAATATTCCAGTGTGTGTGTGTGTGTGTGTGTGTGTGTGTGTGTGTGTGTGGATATAAACCATAATATTCTTTATCCATTCATCAGTCGATGGACATTTGGGCTCTCTCCATAGTTTGGCTGTTGTTGATAATGCTGCTATAAACATCAGGGGGCATATACCCCTTTGAATCTGTATTATTGTATCCTTTGGGTAAATACCTAGAAGGGCAATTGCTGTGTCCCAGCACCATTTATTGAAATGACTATTTGTTTTTCCATTGAATTTTCTTGGTACCTTTCTTGAAATTCATTGACCATAAATGAATGGGTTTATTTTTAGACTTTCAATTCTATTCTATAGGCATAAATGTCTACAATTTACTCAGTATTATTCAGTCTTGATTACTATAATGTTTAGAAATCAGGATATGTTAGTGCTTCAACTTTGTTCTTCTTTTTTCAAGAATTATTTGGCTATTCTGGGTTCCATACATTTTCATAGGAATTTTAGGATCAGGTTATCAGTTTTGGCCAAAAAGGCAGCTGAACTTTTGATGATGATTATATTTACTCTGTAGATCAGTTTGGGAATATTGCTTTCTGACAATAATAGCTGTTGCAATCTGTACACGGGATGTTTTTCACTTTATTGATGTTTTCTTCAGTTTCTTTCAATTATGTTTTTTAGCTTTTAGTTTTCAGTATACAAGTTTTGCATTTCTTTTGTTAAAACCCTAAGTATTTTATTCCTTTTGATGCTGTTATCAATGGGATTTTATTTTCAGACTGTTCATTGCTAATATAAAAAAAGCCATTGACTTTTTGTACCTTTATCTCACATCCTGTCACCTTGGCAAAATCATTTATTAGTTCTAGTAGTTTTTCCTCTGCGTGTATATATTCCTTAAGATTTTCTATATACAAGACCAAGTCATCTGTGAATAGAGATAGGTTTACTTCTTCCTTTCTAATCTGGATGCATTTTATTTCTTTTTCTGGCATAATTGCCCTGCACACCTATCATTACGATGTTAAATAAAAGTGGTGAACATCCTGGTCTGATTCCTGATCTTAGGAGGAAAGCGTTCAGTCTTTTACCATTACCATTCAGTATGATGCAAGCTGTGGGTTTTCTGTGGAGACCCTTTTTAAGGTTGAAAAAGTTCTCTTATATCCCAAGTTTACTGAGTGATTTTTGTTTTCATGACAGAGTGTTGGCTTTTTTTACACGCTTTTCTGCATTTATTGAGATGATCATGTGACCTTTGTCCTTTATTCTGTTAATACGGTGTTTGACATTGATTTTCATATGTTAAACCCACCTTGCATTCCTGGGATAAATCTCACTTGGTCATGATGGGATTTATATATTGCTGGATTCAATTTGCTAGTATTTGTTGAGGATTTTGCATCTTTATTCATAAGTGATATTTGTCTAGTTTTCTTTTCTCATGATATCATTGTCTGGTTTTGGTAAAGGGCAATTTTTCCACTCAAGATATTTTTGAAACATTTCTTCTGGGCTGGCCTTCATAGCCATATAAGAAAAAAATTGGGTGCCTGGGTGACTCATTTGGTTGGGCGTCTGACTCTTGATTTTGGCTCAGGTCATGATCTCACGGTTCATGAGTTCAAGCCCCATGTCGGGCTCTGAGCTGACAGCACGGATAATGCTTGGGATTCTCTCTCTCCCTGTCTCTCTGCCCCTCCCCGACTTGCGCAGTCTCTCTCTCTCTCTGTCTCTCTTCAAAATAAATAAATAAACTTAAAAAAAAATTACTCTCGCCTTTTAGGGTCATACCTCACTATCACCTTTAGTTACTAAAAATGATATTACCCAGTTTTATCAACTACCATAATCACCATATTTGGCTTCCAATATCCCTTAGCTTTTTCTTAATATTCCTGAGAAACACGAAAACCACAATGGTAGCATTGAAGTGTATGAGCTGTACTGGGCATTGTTCTAAGCACTTTATAAGAATTATTTCGCTTAATTTTTACAAAGCTAAGAACTAAGCACTACTATTATGCTCATTTCACAAATGAGGAAACCGAGGCAAAGAGAGGTAAAGTAACTTACCCCAGGTCACTCAGCTAGTAAGAGGCTGAGCTGGGATTCAAACCCTGGCAATGAACTCCCAAGTTCATGCTCTTAACCACTGTGTTTCAGTATTAAGTTTTCAAAAAGAATGTGTTTTAAGCATTTATGAAAATTTCAGAAGAGGTAATGCAAAATTGTTTTGAGAATGTCAGCATAGTTGGAGAAAGCATATGTATCTTTTTGGGAAACCGTTCTAAAGATCCAAAACATATATTTATGGGAAAATCTGATACTTCTGTTTAAAATATTGGGCACATTGTCTTGTATGGCAATGAAAACCTTTAATAGTAAATGGTCTTTTCCAGTATTTTTACTCTTGTACAAGTT